AAGGACCAGCTTAAACCAGCATCCCAGCTTCAAAACATACCTAACCAGCATATGCTGGTTTTTTCAACAGGGAATATATAGAGGGGAAAAAACATATATAATTGTTTTAATGAATGTACAGGTATGTATTTGTAATAAAAACACAGTAACCACACATTTGCCATTGTTTTGCTACAGTGACCGTGTTTAAAATATTGTATTTGTAATAAAGCCTGTTACTAGATTAGCACATTGTTTAATTTTCAGTCCTGGACACTCTTATAGAATGCTTAGAAAAGGGTACAAATCTTATAATTTCATGCTTAATTTACGACTTTCATTTTGGGTTTAAATGAGTGTCATTAGGTTTGTTTCTTCCTTTTATGACCTTTTGTAGTTTTTCATGACGCTTGAATGTCAGCAGAGACTCGGGTTCATATTGGCTGATGGAAGATTTTTTTATATATTTGGAAACACAATGGCAAAGGATAGTACTGTTTTTTTTTTCTCTCTCTCTCTCTCTGTTGAGATTTTGATCTAGAATGTGTTTTTTAATAGAGTCAGATTTACTCTGCCTGTTTGTAAGGCTGCACGATTTGGCCAAAAATCTCATTTAATTTATTTTTGTCGTGATAGAATTATTGTTAAATTATAAAGTCATGAAAGAAATACATTGCGATTGCTATAATACTATTATACTGTAAAATTGCATCATAAATATGATGTAAATAAATAAACATAAATATTTACATGAAAACATATTTACATGAAACATAAATATTTCAATCGCATTTGGTCTCGTACTGTATCGTGTACCTTGTCAGTGTCGTGCGCTTTGCTTGGCCATTTGTTGTGATAAACAGGAACGTGTTCAAGCGCCAGCAAAACACAGTGTAAAGATATAGTCTTTGTGAGAAGCAGTCAATCAGCAGAAGCTAAAAGCAGATCGTAAGTGTATTTATTTCTTGTCTCAGTGTTTAGCGCAGTTGTCGTTGCTAGGAAACGCTTGTTTTGTTTACTGTGTGGAGACGTGCTGAAATAGTGTTTGGTCTCGTACTGCATCGCATACCTTGTCAGTGTCATAAGTATATTCATTACATCTATTACTAGTCATTCAAGACTAAACCTCATGGCCCTGACAGAGACGTGGATCAAACCAGAGGACACTGCTACTCCTGCAGCACTCTCAAATAATTTCTCATTTTCCCACACTCCCCGTCTGACTGGAGAAGGTGGAGGTACTGGTCTGCTTATCTCTAATGATTGGAAATGCATTCCTTTACCTTCTCTGGATATTAGCATCTCATTTGAGTCACATTCAGTCACTATTACCCACCCTATTAAAATCCATGTTGTAGTTGTTTATCGACCCCCAGGACCACTAGGTGAACTTCTTGAATGAATTAGATGTGCTGCTCTCAACTAGAGGTCTGCATTCCTGCGACTCTCCCGCAGGAACCGCGGGACCTGACCAGATTTCTTCTATTTCTATTTGAACGGGAGCGGGCGGTCTAACAATATCCCTCCCGTTCCCGACGTCCTTTCAGAACATATCTGTCCCTTATTCTTATTGACCTTGAAGGACGTTCAACTCGGTTTTGTTTATATTTTGCTTACAGCATGTGAATAACGATCCTTGAAGGACGTTCAACTCGGTTTTGTGTATATTTTGCTTAGCATATCATTTTAAATGACAGATGTCGTAGCCTATTCATTTATTTATTTTTCTCTGCGACACTTTTCCTGCTGTGTGTACAGCAAAATGTTAAACGAATTTAGTATTTTGACAAGACAAATAAAAATAGCTAGGCTATTTCTGTACAACCTGCATTTTTTTTTTCTCTGTTACACTTTTCCCTATTGTTGTAAATGTTAAACGAATTGTATCCTGCGCCTCTCCCGCAGGAACCGCGGGACCTGACCAGATTTCTTCTATTTCTATTTGAACGGGAGCGGGCGGTCTAACAATATCCCTCCCGTTCCCGACGTCCTTTCAGAACATATCTGTCCCTTATTCTTATTGACCTTGAAGGACGTTCAACTCGGTTTTGTTTATATTTTGCTTAGCCTATCATTTTAAATGACAGATGTCGTAGTGTATTTATTTATTTATTTTTCTCTGCGACACTTTTCCTACTGTGTGTACAGCAAAATGTTAAACGAATTTAGTATTTTGACAAGACAAATAAAAATAGCTAGGCTATTTCTGTACAACCTGCATTTTTTTTTTCTCTGTTACACTTTTCCCTATTGTTGTAAATGTTAAACGAATTGTATCCTGACACGACGAATAAAAATAAGAAATACAATTTTTGTACAACATTTTTTTTTTTCTCTGTGACACTTTTTTTCCCTACTGTGTGTTGGCAGCAGTTGCTGTCAATAACTTCAAGACTCTTAACAAGACGAATTATAAATACAATTTTGTACAGACTACACTTTTATTTGTTAGCCTATCGCGCTTTCTTTCAGTAGCGGAAATTTAAATGTGAGATTCTGGAAACGAGATCTAAATTTAGCAGGAACAGTCGGGTCGGGAAGAAAATTATTCTAAGTGGACAGTGGGCGAACAAAGAGTGAATATATAGCGGGAGCGGGTGGGAGCGGAATATAACCTCGCGGGAGCGGGACTGAAAAAACAGTCCCACGCAGACCTCTACTCTCAACCTTTCCGAAAGGATGGTACTCCCCAGTTATGCTCGGAGACTTCAACATCCACCTAGATATACCTCAGGCTGCAGACTTACACACTCTGCTTGCTTCTTTTGATCTCAAGCGAGTGTTAACTACGGCTACTCACAAATCAGGCAACCAACTCCACTCTTACGTCTTGTTTAGACACTGTCTGCCCCTCGTCTTCCAGGCCAGCTCGTACCACCTCTTCTGCCCCTTGGCTATCTGATGTTCTCCGTGAGTATCGTTCG